CATACTCCTACGATAAAAATAATACCCTAAAATATAATACTTCTAGACTATTCTCTCCCCCATAAACTGGATGAAATATGTTTACGGCATTGAAGTCTATGGGGTAGTAGTGTTTTTATGTGTCCTTGAGTCACCTGTGACTCACAGCGATCCTATGTACCTAGCTCTGAACCCTACCCGAACCTGAGCCAATCTCTTCATCTCCAACAGACCTAATTCCACTTCTCCAGTCACTAAGTCAATCCATCTCATCCTAAGTCTTCCTCTCCTGCGCTGTCCCTCCACTCTTCCAAGCATGATGTCCTTCTCCAAGGATTGGTCCCTCCTGGCCACGTGCCCTAAGTATGTGAGACAGAGTTTCAAAATCCTAGCCTCCAAGGTGCAGCCTCCAGGACAGACCTGTTTGTTTTCCTGGCAGTCCACTCTTCTCCAGCACCACAACTTAAAGGGATTGAGATTCTTCTTCTATAATTCTTAGTCATTGTAGTGCAGAATATATTGGGCTGCTAACAGAAAGGTTGGGAACTCTGGTGGCTTTGTAGTAAAGAATTGAACTGCCAACACAAAAGTACAAGGTTCAGTCAAATCTACCAACTGCTCAGCTGGACAAAGATAGGCAATTCCCTCCTGTGTGATTTACTGCTTCTGAAAACCGGCTAGGAAAAAAAAAGAAAAGAAAACCAGCTAGAGAGTCATCTATGGGTCAGTTCAGACTCAATGGTACACAGCAACAACAAAGGAAAAGTCAGTGGTCAGAATCCAACAGCTTCTCTAGAGAGAAAAATGGGTGGTCTCCTCCCGAAAAGATTTACTAGCTCAGAAACTGGATGGAGGCTAGCTGTGAGTTGGAACAAGCTAGATGGAAGGGAATCCTTTCTCAGAGCAGGAACTAGATGGAAGGGAATCCTTTCAGAGTAGGAAAGTGTACTCATCACTAAAGGTCATACATTTTAGACCTTGGTAGAGTGAATGAACCTGTCTATTTAATTCCCAAGGGCATGTCATTTTATTAAATGAAATGCCAATTGATTTTATTAAGTTATTCAGATAATATTTAAAATAAAAAAGCAAGATAAAACACAAGATACCTGAGAACTTTGAAAAGTTTCGTACTGGCATGATCCGCTGGCGACTTTTCCCCTTGACTTCACCCTCATAGATTAAGATAATAGCAGGAGGCTGGAATCGAATCCCACATTTCTTGGCAGTACACATTATTCCTACTTCAGAGGAAATCTGATGAAAATGTGTTAGTCGCTTAATGACTTCCTGCAATGGGAGGGGAATAAAAGTTCAATTCCAGCTCAACTATTTATTGGGTAAAGCTTACACACACTGCCCTTCCCCACTTTGTCCCTGTGTTCTGGCTCTCTAGCACAGTTTTTAGGATATATACTGCATCTCCAAGCTCAACACTTCTGGGATTTTTCCTAAAACTCAGTTTGGCCTTGGTTACCCTCAGTCTGTTGGATCCAAAAGACTCTCTGGTTCATTGAGAAATATAGATTTGTTCACACATGAACCTGATGTAATGCCATTTGAAACTCTTAACATATACTGCCCTCTCAAATAAAGATTGTATCTGAATTCAAATCAGCCCAAAACTGAACTCAAGAGTTTTTACTTGCCAGTTAGCAAATATTTATCTATATATAGGATTTCTGGTGACCTAGTGGTAAGAAACTGCACTGCAGGATGGGCAATCTCCTCCTGTGTGATGATTAACTAACTGCTTCTAAAAATCTGCTGGAGGGTCAGCTATGTATGGGTCGGTTCCAACTGATTGGTACTCAATAACAAACAACCCTTTATATCGGGTAGTGTGAATAGTCACTTAAACATTATGTCCTTGGAAATTAATCAGATTACCTACCTTGTCTTTTCTCAAACTTTTTCTTCACTAACTTTTTTGAAATGACTTATTTCATTATCTATCTTCCCTACTCATCTATAAACCATATGAAAACAGGGAACATATCAACTGTTCACCACTACATGCCCTTATAGTACCTGAACCACAATGTGCACTCCATAGATACTTGTCTAATTCAATGCATTAATATAAGATTAGGTCTTAGTGCATACTCTAAATATTAGTAGACATTCAGCCTGATCATAAAGGTAGACCTGCTTTGAAATTGGTATCTCTATGTATGAGGAAAATAATGTTACTTAAGCTTATTTATCTCACTATATGCTACTTTTTCTGACCCCAGACAGAAAGCATAGCATTTGAAGGATAACACCTGCAATTCCTCTCCCACACTCAAAACCAAAACACACTTTATCACTGGGACCATTGTAGATGGGAATATTCCTAGGGATATTTCCAAATGTCAAGAAACCTTGAAATGAAGAGGGATATGATGTTGTCATTTTAAAAAAACTTAGAACTCTGATGTACAAATATCTGTTTGTATTTCAGTACAACAATGTTCACAGAAGCATTAATCATCATCACAAGAATATGGAAACAGCCCAAATGTCCAACCATAAGTGCATGGATTGAGAAATTTGTAATTTGTTGTTGTTGTTAGGTGCTGTTGAGTACAACTCATAGCGACCCTATGAACAAAAGATCTGAACCCAGTCCTGTCCTGCAACATCCTCACACTGCCTATACTCACACAACAGAAACGATTTTGGAAAATACTACATAACTTGGAGAGGTGGGAAAGCATTATTCTGAGTGAACTAACGCAGTCTTGTAAGAACAAATACTACGTAAGACAGAGTAATGATGGGCAAGATCCAATGGTGATTGATTTTATAAAACCTAGGGGTACTCTGGTGCCCTGTGGCAAGAAGCTGCACTGAAATCCCAAAGATGCACGGTTCAAATCCACTAGATGCTCTGCCAGGAAAGGAGTGTACACACACACACACACACATGCTAATAAAATATTAATAATAAAATAATGAATGGGAATGATTGTATTAAACACAATGTGAATGAAGAATAGTGTGAAACAATGTATATAAATTTTGTAAGCAAAACAATTTAAAAAATAATGTACACCAACATTCATAGCAACATTATTCTCCATTGCAAGAACATGGAAACAGCCCAGATGTTCAAGCACAAAGGAAAGAAGTTGTAGTACATTCTTACAATGGAATATTTTGCAGCATGCAGGAGCAATGATTTTGTAAATTACTACCTAACCTGGGAGGGACTGGAGAGCATTATGCTGAATGAACTAACTCAGTTCCACAAGGTCAAACACTATCTAAAACCATTATTGTAGAATGAGTATGAGGATCCAAGGGGGGGAGGGTGGAAATAGAGGGGTGAGAAGGCATGAGGGGATAGGGTGTTAATCACAGTGTTGCATAATTCCATGGGTGGGTGGAGTAAAGGAGATGGGATGGATCTTTTGTGAAAAACAATGTATTCAATCAAACTTCATAAATAAATCAGTATAAAATTTTTAAAAAAGAAAAAAATAGAATGTATATGAATGATTGTATGAAACACAATGTAAATGAAAGACACATATGTTTCCCTCCTGTACCAGTCAGATCTGATTTGATGGTACACACACAAAAATAATATTTAAAAAATAATGAAACATAATGTAAAGGAATTATATAAAAACCAATAAAAATGTTTTTAAAAACTTAGCTAGAGCTATGATTAAAAACTAATAATAATTGACATATGTTCATTATAGAAAAGGGAAGGGGGGAGGAATTTCATAAAATAATCACCTTTGACTCCTATTCTTTATTCAAAGCATAGTTTTTCAAACTTACGGTATGGTATACACTATCTCCCGCCTTGCAAATGTAGCAATTTCTCTTGACATTAAATATTTTACTAAAATGCATTTTTTATATGATTATGTAATGTTTTCTCCAAGGATTCCTGCTGGAGCAATGACTAATCACTCAGCTACTAACCCAAAGGACATAAGAGAATCGACCAAGCAGCTCTGAAGGAGAAAAGGCCTGGAAATCTGTTCCCATGAAGACTGCAGTCTAAGGAAGCCCATGAGGAGTATGAGGTATATGATTCTGCCCCATTGGGTCACTCTGCATCACAATCAACTCGACAGCACACAGCAACAACAAATAAACAAAAGTATTTTGTCCTATCACTAAAACACATTTACCAGTTGCATCAATTCCAACCCATAATGATGCCACGCATTTCTGAGTAAACTGTATTCTATAGCATTTTTAAAACTGTGACTTTTTTTAGAGGCGCCTGGCTTGTTTTCAGGGGAGACTCAAATCTCCAACTCTTCCACTTATAACTGTTGGTTAACAATGTGTACCACCCAGGGACTGCATAAATGTACCATAAATATAATGTGCTGCTCTTGAGTGGATTCCAACTCATAGTAACCCTAGGGTTTTTAAGGCTGCATATGATATTAAAAGGGCTTCACTACAATCCTGAAACGTGGGGTTCAAGGCCACCAGTTGCTTCGCAGAAAGATGGGTAATCTACTTCCATGAGATTAACTGCCTCTGAAAACCTGCTGGAGGGTCAGCTATGGGTTGGTTCCGACTAGACGGTACACAACAACAACAATATGCTACTAAAAAATTGTCACATCTTTCTCTCACAGAGCAGCTAGTGGATTACAACTGCCAACCTTTTGGTGAGAAGCCAAAAGTTAATCACAACACTACCTGAGTTCCTCAAATGAGGCATGGAAATTGTCACTCAGTAAATTTGCTTAAATACTTAAGAGCACTTTAAAATCTTTAAAAACACTTAAAATACTGGACCTTATTTCCTATCTGATGCACACAATCTCCCTTCCCACCAACCCAATTCCCTCCCTCTTTTTTTTTCCCCCCAGTACAACCACCATTTCACTTCACTAAGATTTGGTTTGCCAATAAACATTCAGGAGAAACTATATAAATGCTAACCCTCATGTGACTGGCTGTCGTTATGAATAATAATATTCAATTGATGTTCAATAACACAGTGGAGTTTTTAACGACAAACTCTTTTTCAAATTTAACTTTTATTCCTACCAAAGTAATATTTGGACTTTGTTTAGTATGAACTAATCCTAACAGACTTATAACAAAAAACTCCTCTCTCTTGCCTAACCTTTTCCCACAGGCAACCAGTTCTTCAGGCATTTCAAAATTTATCTCCGTATTTCTTCATAACAGCCTGCTCTATTTCAGTTTTAGTGATTATCTTTTGACACAGTCTCCTCTTTGGAACAACCACCCATCCAGCAGCTCTTGGCTGTTTCACTAAGAGAAATTGGATGCTCTCTTTAGGCTGCTTACAGACTCATTTGAGGTCACAAAGGCACATTTACGTAATTATTTTTCTTGGACATGAACTCTTTTTCTTTCCAAGGATCAATGACTGCCTTCATCTTGCTAAGCATCCCCTACATCATCTAGAAGTGGCTGAATTTCGCCAAAAGCGCCCCAGTGTTAGTTGGCAGCTTCTTTCTCTCCTTCAACATTACCACTAGAGCAAGGGTGACTTTCTCCACTTAGAGAACAGAACGCGCAAGTTCTGCAGGCCAACGTCTAAAGCCTGAGGGGTTTTTTCCACCCTGTGGGCTCGCACAGCTACCCTGAGCTAGCGAGGTGTGGGGCGACAGGTACAGGGGATGGCCACAACCTCGCAGACGTGACTGCTTGGGTGAACGCCTTGGCAGGAGGCCCGAAAACCGCAAATACCTGGAAGTGGAGGTGGAGACCCAGGGCCGGAAGAGCAAGCTTCCAGACTGCCTTGCCCGGCTCAGCGTTCCTGTAGCAACAACTGGGGCGTGCGTCACGGCGCTTGCGCAGTTCTTTGCCCCGCCCCAGACCCTGACTGTAAGGGGCGGGGCTTAGGAGGGAACGAATCAGGGGCCGGGAAGGGCCGGCTCACGCGCTGCCGGAAATTTTGGGGTATGAGGGTGGCAAGGGTTTGGGGAATCGCTGGGCTGTAATGTCCGGGCACTTAGACCTCCGACTGGGTTACTAACCCTTTGGCATCGCTCCTTAGAAGCGGCGTGAGACGTGTGCAGGCCCCTTCCTCTGTCTGCATTTCAAATCCACACGCCCCTCCCGGGCGCCTGCCCTCTGGCGTCCTGGCTGCCAGAGTCGCACCTGGCCCGGCGGTGGCCTGGCTGCTCCTCTGGATGGCGACTGGGTCACCCAGCACACCAGCCTCTGCTTTCACTGAAGTCCCTTCCGATTTTGGTAAAGGGAGGGGCGGGCCTGTGGATGTGTGGGTAGAGGGCAGAGAGCTGGGGAGTCGTCTTTTGCTAAGGTAATTCAGTGCACCTTGGCGTGGGACCCACACAGAGTGTAGTAAGCGGAAGGACATAAAAGAGAAAATGGTCTCGCATGCCTTGCTCTTCTCTTAGTCATGCTCCGTGTTGGCGGCTGAGTCTTTGGTGAATCCAGCCAAGTAGTTCCCAGGTGCCTGGAGGTGCCTGATGGTAAAGTGCCGGAAATGAAGTGCAGCCAGGCAATAAATGTTTTGGAATTGCGTATATAGCCCCTCACCACAGGGATCAGTAAGGCCCACGGCCCGATGTTGATGCCATCCAGGCATTAATTTCATCCATGTACAACCCCAATGAAACCTTGCCTGAGCCTGAACCATCTTCTCATTCTCCACATGGCTTAAACCGTTGTTGTAGCCACTGTGTCAGTCTTAATCTCATTAAGGATCGCTGACCCTGTGCTTTTCCAAGCTTTATTATATCCATCTCAGGGGACTCCTTATCTCTCCATAACGTTCCCAGAGTATGTGAGACCCATTTCACATTCCTTGAGTCTAAGGAGCACTCTGACAGGACTTACTCCGGGAAAGATTTGTTTTTTTGGCTTTCCGTGGGATGGATATTCAATACTCTTATTCTCCTTTGGTCTTATTCATTGTTTAACTTTCACATGTATGTAAAGCCACTGAAAATACTATGGCTTTGAAGTGACATCCATTCTCTTAACATTTACTTAAAGAGGCCCTTGCTAGCATATTGGTCATTTGATTTCTTGAGCACTCCTTTGCATACTGACTGAATCCAAGAAAAAACCTTTGACCATTGTCGCTGATGCTTATTGGTCCACTTGTGAAATTTTTTTTCTTTATGCTGCTGAAGTAGAGTCTATACTGAAGGTAATATAAGCACTTCAAGTTTTCTCCATTTTCTACAAGCAAAATTGTCATCTGCATTTCTGCAGATTCAGAATCCCATAGACATTCTGAGGAAATGACTAGCTTTGAAGCTTCTTTAATTGTAGACCGAATTAGGCTAGGATTTCACTATAATTCTAGACTGAGCAAGGCAGTTTTTCACTTCTTTGGGCTCCTACTCACTGGCTGAAGTATTGTGAAACTTCCGGTTATTTCACATTTATATAGGAACTTTTTGAGTCCTTGTGTGCCTCCAGATTCCCCCCCCCCCCAATTCTCCCAAGGCAAGTGACTTCCCAGTTGTATAGCTGTGCATGGCAGAATACAGTTGCCAGTTTGTATCTGATCTTGTTAGCTAAAATTGAAAGAGTTCCTCCTGGGGTCTTGAATGAAGTCATGCTCATAGTAAACACACAGAACATTTAGTTACTTGTGGGCTAATGGGCCTTGGGTGGTGCAATAATTCATGCTCTCCGCTGCTTACGGAAAGGTTGGCAGTTCAAACCCATCAGCCACTCCACTGGAGAAAGACGTGGCACTCTGTTTCAGCAGTGATTTACAACCTTGGAAACTCCATGGGCGGTTCCACTCTGTCCTGCAGTGTGGCTAAATGGCAATGGGTTTGGTGTTGGGTTTTGGGTACTGTTTTAGGAACTGTTCTATGATTACTTCTATACACCTTTTCATTCTCATGATAGTTAACAGTGAAAGAAATTATCTTGCCCCAAATCATGCGGCTCTTAAGGGGCAAACTGGGATTTGAAACCAGAAAGTCTTAACTCCAGAGTCAGTTTTCTTTCTTTCTTTTTTTTTTTTGTGCCATGACTCAGATGCGAACCAAGAGTCCATTTTCTTAACCACTCTATGGTTACTAACACTGTGCTATACTGGAAGTAGGTTTATGTGTAGCACTAAGTTTTAAAAGCTGTTGCTTATTTTGTTTTTAAGCTGGTTAGGTTTTCTGTGGTAGTTGTTGTCAGGTGCCATCTGGCTGTCTACAACTTAAGGGAACCCAGGATAGTAAAGCTTTTAATAGGGATTTAAAACTTTTAAAAAGTTAAAAAAACCAGCACCACCAACTTTTAAAAAGTTAAAGATTCTAAAAAAAAAAGTTAAAGATTCTCTCTTTGAGTGACTATTTCATTAAACATTTTTATTATTGATTTTGATTCTCTTAGGCATAAGGACCACTTGTTCAGAAATTACCCTGAGGCTAGAAGCTTTGAAAAATGGTTTTCACAGGTAAGTTGTATATTGATTTCTACTTAAGTTAAAATACTCTTTAATAATATAGTGTAAAAAGGTTGATAGTCAAAACATGGATAAACTGAAAAATAATTTTCTTTCCTGAAGTTTATCAGTAATAGGTTAATCAATATGTGGTTTACAATTTGACATAATTGTAAAACTAATGGAAGGGAACCATAACATGTATTAATTATCCTCTATGAAGGTTTTTCACATAAACACACATGCAATATTCCATTCCATCTTCACAATGACTGAAATAGTATTTTTATTTTCACATACAGGAACTAGGGTTTACAAAATTTAAACAGTTTAGTGGAGGTTAAGGTAGTAGAACTCTTAACTGTAGGACTCTAAGGCTATACACACAAGTACTGTCATTATTTCTACCTATTCAACTTAATATTTGATTCCTGATAGCAAATGATACATCTGTTTTTAAAATGGAAATTATTCTCAAAAGGTGAAAATATGTCAATATTGAAGATATCTGAAAAAGTAATAACAAATTGTAGGCACAACTTAATACTGTCCAGTCTTTTCTCTGGGATTATTTAAAATGATTCTCAGATTATATCAGAGATAGAAATTCATGTACATTTGTTTTAAAAGACATTTTGTTTTATTTTATTTTCTAAAAAACTAAAACCAAGCACAGCCATCAAGTGGATTTTCATAATGGCTTTCTGGGGCTTTGAATCTTTATGTAGAAGAACTAAACATCTTTCTGTCTTGGAAGACTAGTGGATTATAACTGCTACCCTTTCAGTGGTAAGAAGCTGCACTGTAATCCCAAAAGCATGCAGTTCGAATCCATCCACTGCTCTTCAGGAAAAGGATGGATAGTTTTCTCCCATGCAATTTACTTTCGCTGAAAACCCACTGCATGGTCAGCTAGGACTCAGTTCTGACTAGATGGTTCACAACAACCACCACCACTGCCCTTTCAGTTAACAGCCCAACACTGTGCCTCCAGGGCTACTTATTTCATTCTGTCCTTCCTTCTTCCTTCTTCATTGCCATGGAGTAGAAACCAACTCCTGTCTGACTCACCTTTGGGTTTTCAGAGTCTGTGAATTGCACAGGAAGAGGTGCCTGTCTTTCTTCTGAGGAGCCACTGGTGGGTTCAGATTGCCAGAGAGGTGCCACCTTTGAGTTAGCATCACAAGACCCTATGTACGAGGCCACCAGATCTCCTTATTCCATTCTGTTTTGTTGTTCTTATGTTCCATCAGCCACCCTATGAACAATGGATCTGAATTTTATCCTATTGTGCACCTTTCTTATCAGCTCTGATATACTTGAGCCCGGTGGGTGATACAGTCACTATATCAATCCATCTTGCCGAGGATCTTCCTCTCTTTGGATGACCATCCACCCTTCCGTGCATGATGTCCTTTTCCAAAGACTAGCCCCTCCTAACAACATGCCTGAAGTATGTGAAATAAAGTTTCCTCCTCCTTGCCTCTATGGAGTACCCTGGTTTCACTTTCTCTAAGACATACTTATTCTTTTGGCAGTCCATGGAATATTCAGTACTCTTTTCCAACACCACAACTCAAAAGTATTGATGATTCTTCTGTTCTTATTCAGATGCATAGCATCTGAATTAAGAAGACCAGGGCTTGGATCAGGTGCACTTTAGTCTTCAAACTGACATCATTGCACATTAGCACTTTGGTGAAGTCCTTGTTAGTAGATTTTTTTTTCCATTGCAACGCAACTTTTGACTTCTTGACTGTTGGTACCAAGGGTGTTGTAATCATCTTAAGCAAAAACATCTCACTCTTTTCTCTTAAAAAATTTAGTCTGCTATAATATGAGTGGGAAGATTTTGTGCCTTAAAAAAATTAAAATAAATTTGAGTCCAAAATATATTTCTATTGCTCTAGAGTTCCAAGATTGTTGTCTCCAATTGGTCTTTCAAGTTCAGTTTTTGTGATGAGGGACTAACCCTTAGAGCTTCCCACTTGATATTTTTTGTTCTTTGTCTTTAAAAATCAGAGGCTATGCTCCCTGCACTGTCTTTCAGTTTGACTTCTGTGGTGTTAGGTTAAAAGTTGGCTTTTCTAGCCATTACATTAGCTACTGCTGGTCTCCAGCTACCTTACCTATGGGCACAAAGTCTTGCAAATCATCAACAGCTGTGAAACTAGTACAAGAGAGAGTGCTTCCCACACTGTAGAGCAAGACCCTGGCTACAACCTGGTGGAGTAACTGTGGGAAGGTGTAACCTGAGGTTTCTTGCATCTATTTGGGCCACAGGCAAAGCTTTTGTTTGCCACATAGTTGATGGAGAAGTTGATTTATAACTGCTCTGAGGCAAACCTTTCTGGATGATTGAGGAAACGAGAAGCTTCTTGAATTTGTGCTACTGAACTGAACCAGGGCTTTTACAAACTGACAAACTGTGTTTTGCTGTTAATCTAGTTTGGGACTGCTGGAACTAAACCTGAACTTGCATTGTGAGATATTTTTTTTTGCCTCCCACACTCTCCAACCTATTTCCCTAGTAAACCTCACTCTTTTTTTTTTTTTACTTTTTTTATTATTTTTAATGAAAGTTTACAGACTTAGGGTTTCCAGTTATTCATTGTTGCACTTTTCTCCCTGCCCACGTCCTCCCCCCAATTCATTCTTCTCCTTGAAAAGTAAAAGAAAAACTCTTTGTTATATAATCCCTCCCCCCAAGTCCACTCCACTGTGCAGCCTTCATTCTGGACTCCTGTCATGACAATGATACCCAGTCATATATCCCTTTTAAATGGTTCTCTCCCTCATCTGTTTCAGTGCGGTATACAGCATTCATCTCCTCCTTCTCTGTCTTCCCTCAACCCTGATGTCAGTCCCATTTTACAACAGTGGCCCTATGCAATATTTGTCCTTTTGTGACTGAGATATTTCACTCAGCATAATGTCCTCCGGGGTCACTCATTTTGCATAATATTTCATGAGTTCCTTGTTTTTCAATGCTGCATAGTATTCCATTGTGTGAATATACCAGAGCTTCTTTATCCATTCATTTGCTGATGGTCACTTGGGTTGTTTCCAGTTCTTTGCTATTGCAAACAAAGCTGCAATAAACATGGGTATGCATTAACCCCACTCTTGGTACCACAACTCTGAGTAAAGTGTGAGTCAACAACAAATATCAGATCTGAATGATTGGTAAAAAACAGTGTAGGAGCATGTGGGTTGGTGTGTCTGACTGAAGAGCTCTCTGTTTGGGACTATTTATACTACTGATAGGGACAGTTCCACTTTATGAAGTGGTTAGAAGTCAGATTTGGCCATCACCACTACCACATTGCATCTTTCCCTTTAAAGATTGTTTCTATTGCTTTATCTCAAAGTCACTGATTTACAGTACTGCAGTATGTAATTGTATTTAATCACATCTCTAATTTTTAATTTCATAAATTCTACTTTTTACCTCCTAAAGTTACATTAGATTTTTTGGTTTGTTTTTATATACTCATGTTGACCATATTTATGTTGTTTTAATATCCTTTGTTAATTCATTACTTATTTCTAGACTTGTTTCTATTGACTAATTTTCCTTCTGATTATTGGCCATACTTTCCTACTTCTTCATGTGTCTATTAGATTTTAACTGCTTGCTAAACACTGACATTGCATTGTTGAATGTGTGGATTTTGTTGCCTTTCTTTATAAAGTATTGAGCTTTTTTGTCTATTGGTGTTTAGGTTCATTATCAGCTTGATTATTGTCTTAACTTTTTTATTTTATGTTGTTGTTGTTGTGATGTACCAATAAGTTGAAATAAACTCATAGCTCACCTTCCAGAAGGTTTTCAGAGTCAATAAATCACACAGGAGGAGATTGTCCCATCTTTCTCCCAAGGAGCAACAGGTGGTTTCGAACACAGTGCTTTTGGATTGGCAGTGCAATTCCTTACCACTCAACCACCAGAACTCTTTATTGTATATGGACTTTAAAACTATCTAGACATCATCCTAGTGTGGCATGCACTAATCATGCACTTTAGTCTCTATGGTCTGTTTGATTGGAAGTTGAATATCTCCCAACCCTATGTGATATTTGGAGATTTTTTTCCATTTAAAGCTCCTCAGTCATTTGTTGCCAAACTTCTGTAGTACACTTATGTGTTTCTTGTTCCCTCAACCCTATTCTTAGTCATTGTCCAGCTTTCTGATGCCCATTCCTCCTCATAGAGCCCAGGCTCCTGGATCATCTGTTTTGCAAGTAATTGCTAAGAGCATGGCCTGAATCAGGTGTACCATAGTCCCTAGACTGACATCATTGCTCTTCACTACTTTGGAGAGATACTTGACAACAGATTTTCCCAATGCAATTCATCTTTTGATTTCATGGATACTGGTGCAAAGAGTGTTGATTGTGGAGCCAAGCAAACTGAAGCTGTCAACAATCTCAATCTCTTCACCATCTATCATGATGCTGCCAATTGGCCCAGTGGTGAGAATCTTTATTTTTTTTTTATGTTGAGATTCAATCTATATTGAAGGCTGCAGTCCCTGACCCTCTGCAGCAAATGCCTCAGGTCCTCTTCAGTTTTAGCAAACAAGTTTGTGTCATCTGCATAGTGCAGGTTGTTGATGAGTCTTCCTCCAATCCTGATGCCCATTCCTCCTCATAGAGCCCAGGCTCCTGGATCAACTGTTCTACATATAGATTGAAAAGGTATGGAGATAGGGTGTATCCCTGTCATATACCTTTCCTGATTTTGAACTATGCCATATTTCCTTGCTCTTTTCTGATGACTGCATCCTGGTCCAAGTATTGGTTTTGAATAAGCACAATTAAGTGTTCTGGAATTCCCATTCTTCTCAAAGTCAGTCACAGTCAAATGCCTTTGCATAGTCAATGAAACACAGACATTCCTCTGGTACTCTCTGCTTTCAGCTGACATCCATCTAACATTAGCTGTAATATCCCTAGGAACACAGCCTTTTCTAAACCCATATCTGGCAGTTCTCTGTTAACATGATATTCCAGTCTCTCTTGGAAATTTTCAATAAGATCTTTTTTTGCATGTGATATTAATGACACGATAATTTCTACACTCTGTTGGGTTGCCTTTTTCTGGAATGGGAATAAATATTACTCTCTTCCAGTCAATTGGCCAAATGGTTGTTCTTTAGATTTCTTGGAACAACCTGGTAAGCTCATCTAGGGCATTATCTGTTTGTTGAAATATCTCAATTGGTACATCATCAATTCCTGGGGGCCTTACTTTTTGCCAATTCCTTCAGAGCAGCTTGAACTTCCTCCTTCATCACCATAGGCTCTTGATCATATGTTGTTTCATGAAATTCATTTCACAGTAGAAGTCTTAATCTAGTCCCACAGTTCTAGAAGGTGTTCTCTCTGTTGGCTCTGGAGAAAGGTCCTTATCTTCTTTTATTGTCTCTAGTACTGGTCTTCCTTGGAAATCATCATGTGTTTTGGTCATTCCATAATGAGTAGATTCTCTGTGTAAAGACCTGGATCCCAAAGATGCACTTTGTTCCCAATTCTTGTTAGTGAGACACAAGTTCTCTTTTCTTTGCCAGTTTATCTCTCCTTTTATCTCACATAAAAGAACAAGTATCAAAAAAAACCAACAAGTATTACAGGCTACACTCTTGAAACATTGAATCAGAAGATGTGATGAGATTAAAAGTATTTCATCCTACTTTGTGGATCCGAGCAATTGTTACCAGTCTTGCTCGGATCCACAATCAACACTCTTGGCACCAGCAGTCAATAAATCAAAAGACGAACTGCATTAGGAAAATTTGCTGTCAAGGCTCTCCCTGGAGTGCTAAAGGACAACGTCAATCTAGAGACTTAAGGTGCACTTGACCTAGGCCTTGGTCTTCCCAGTTAGTTGCTATGCATCTGTGGGCTGGATGATGACTAGGGATGACAAAAGAATGGATACCTTTGAGCTGTGTGGTGCTAGAGAAGAGTATTGACTGCATATTGTGGACTGTCAAGAAAACAAACATCTGTCTTAAAGAGGGTAAAATCAGTTTACTCCTTGGAGGAAAGGATTTTGAAACCTCTGTCTCACATACTTTGGCCATGTTGCCAGGAGGCACCAGTTTTGGGAGAAGGACATCATGCCTGGAAGGGCAGAAGATCTGCACAGAAGAAGACCCTTCATGAGATGGATTGACACAGTAATTGTGGTAATGTGTATTGGAGCCAGTGAGATTGGCTTAGGATACTGCAAAGTGCAGAGCTATTGTTCATAGGGGTTCTATGAATCATAGTCGACTCAACCACACATAACAAGAACAACATCATATTTTTAATTTTTTCACAACTATTCAGCTTATCATTACATAGGAGATCATTACATAACTGCCAACATCACATCCTAGACACTAAGAATCATGGCCCAGCCATATATTTCTTTTTAAAACAATTCCATCATAACAATAATTGATTGCCAGAACAACAAACAAATTTTCCTTGGAAGAAGTATATCCAAGATAATCCTTAGAAAGGCTGTTTCTTTCTTTCGACTTATTATCAAGATGGACCAATCCCTAGAGGACACCATGCTTGGCAAAGTAAAGTTTTAGACAGAAATTGGAAGAATCTCAGGGAGATGAATTGACACAGTGGTTGCTATAGGGGTTCAATTGACAACAAATGGGAGGATAGCGAGGTCCTGAGCAGTATTTCATTCTGTGTACATAAAAGTCACTGAGTTGGAATCAATTCAATAGTGTCTAATAATAACAACTAGAATTTATGAATGACCAATTAGGTAATTTTGACAGAGTATAAATATTTCATTTGACTCTATTTGTGAAAATAAATTTGAAATGTAGTATTTCTGCTAACATGAATGTAATGTTATCCTCTTTGACAATTGAATACTAACTTTAAATATATATTTCTTTTCTTACAGAGACCTTATAGTAAAAGTGAAATTTGGAGAAAGTATTGAGAATTTACAGACGTGCCAACTCTTAATTAAACAGTCTATTCCTTCAGGATTATTTGTGGATCCATATGAGTTGGCTTCATTACGAGAAAAAAACATAACAGAGGTATGTTTATAGTGTTAAGTTATAAAAGGAGGGAGCTTTTTTTACTGTTGGTTTGGTTATTTTTTATAGACATTGATTTAGGGATGCTAGGATTTAGACTAAGGTAAAATAGTAGACAACATTGTGGTGATTTTCTTTTTTTTTTTTTGTTTTTAAACTGACGTTTTAACATAAGTTTACAGAAAATTTGGATTTCCATTCATTCATTGTTACAGATATTCTTCCCTACACACCCCCAATCCACTTTTCTCTTTAAAAAAATTTCATTGTTGCACAATATTTTTCTCTTAAATTGAGGAAGATGATGTTTTTTTAGAATGTTAGTATTCCTTAAGAAGTTAGTATTTTTAGAAATAAGCCACCTACACTGATCTAGTTTAATGATTTTTGGCAAAAAATTTTGGTGGTTCTTATTTAGTGATTAAGAAAACTGTATGTCTTGATAGTATACTTAGAAAACCCTAAAGACTCAGCAAGAAAACTATTGGACATAGTTGACCAATTCAGTAAAGTAGCAGGATACAAGATCAACATACAAAAATCAGTTGGATTTCTCTACAGTAACAAAGAGAATACAGAGCTGGAGCTAAGAAAAACAATACCC